AGAGACCAATTACAACGAAGTGTTGATAGATGGCGTTGACATACATATATATTTGTTTTTAATTTGTTTTTAATTTCTGAGTGAATAGCTTCTGATTTGTTTCTTTTTTTTTTTATGAAACATATATAGAACTTTTCGAACTCTGAAAATGAACCAATTCATAAGGTGTAAATTAATCGCGCGATATTTGATTTTTTTTTGTGATCATTTGTACTAAAAATCCTTCCTATCAATAGTGTTTTGTAAAAACTTGTTTAATGCAACTTTACGATAAGATAATTGTTGTAGTAAAATTCTATTTCATTTTTATTTGTAAAATACACACAGTTTCACTACAATAATCTGTTATACAAGCAACACCAATATTTGATTTGCTGAATAAAATTTCACAGAATTCAAAAATATGATTCGAAGACAAAAAAGCATTATCCTTAGGAAACTATGTAACAAAAAAAAATTGACGGTATTTTTTGCTTTATATGTACCTAAAAATAAAAGTCTCCAGAATTACTATCAGAAACGTTAAAGTATTTTTTTACGAATACAGTATTACAAAAAAAATGTAATGTTTTATGAGTAATACAATTTCACTGAAAAATAATAAGAAATTTACAAATAAATGTAACATAAACTAGAAAGTACAAGAACGGTGAAAGGTGGCAGACGAAATCTGACCTCTTGACCTTCGATCGTCTTTAGACAAACACGACACAATTCAGAAGTTGTTGTCTGGCTTTATATACATCCATGGTATATCAACGAATAACATCCATAAGAAAATGGGTATTTTGTAACGGCGGTCGGCCATGAAAAATATCGCTCTGTCGTCTCTTTTCGTTTTTAGCAGCCTATATAAGTGCAGTTCAACCGTTAGTACTAGTTTATTTCACATTTATATTCGACCGAGTTAGCATCATGATTTCAACAACTTCATATGACTTTCATGAAAACGATCGTATTTTTGGCGATCACTTAGATATGGCAACACAAGAACATTTTGATCAATTATGTACGATAATAAAATGAAAGTTATGTTTACATCAATTTATTTTAAAATATTTCTAGGCTATAACTATAATGAAACAACTTTCGTTCCACAACAAGTAACACCGAGCATGTTAAGTACACATAACGATTTAAATCAATTACGTGTAAATTCGAGTAACGCCGAAGATTATGCAAACGAATTTGAAACATATTTAGTAAGTGATCTAAGTCGTACAAGGCATTTTCGTTTGTGTCATAATAATTAGTTAATATGTGTTTTTTTTTTGAAGCAAAACTACAATAAAAATAAAGAAGCTGCTCAATCGAATGTAACTACACTTAATTCGTTACATTCGAATAATGTTGAGAAATCTGTTTCTGAGCAATCAGTTATCAACGTTTACGAAAACTTTTCGTCTGCTACAGCAATACAAACTTTTGGTATATCTAATTTAAGTTATGGTAAGACTTGAGGGAAATTGAAAAAAATAGTTTTTTTTCAAACTTATGATTTAGATGATCAAATAATTGCTCGTAAATATCGATTTGATCTCAATGGCATTAAAACTTTCGAAAAAAGGCTCTTTAATAAAGATCGTATGTCAAAACGAATGTATGCAATTATCTGTTGTACTAATATTACAAGTGAGAAAAATTCGTCACTTTTTTTGATCACATAAACACGATTTGTATTTGATTTTTTTTTTTGGTTTTGAATTGAATAGAAGAGTATGTCATGTTAGAAATATGTCGACAATTTCCAATGCCTATCATACAATATGTATGCGTATCGAGTGATTCACCAACTTCAGGATTATCCAATACAAATAGTTCTTCTGTGATATACGTACAAATATTATTGAAAAGAAAAGTAAATAAACGTGGTTGGTTTCTCGATAAAGTTACTGGTACGAAGCATTTTATAAAATAGTCTCATAGTAATTTCGAACAATTTCTAGGTGATTTTTGTAATTATCATGTCACCTACAAAGAATTACCATGGCATCAATTTATAAAAAAAGGTATTTGAAAAAGAAAAATTAAATCATTCGCTACCAATATAAACACTTTTTTTGTTTTTTGTTAGATCGTTTCAGCATCGAGATAGGTCATTTTCAATCGAGAAGACCTCGAGCTAATCGTTGTACTTTATCATTTAGAAATGTTGGTTGTGAGCAAGAGCAAAATCATTTGTCCATAAATCAATAATTTTACTTTTTTTGTGAAATTAATTGTATTACACTACTCAAATGGATTTACTAATAACTTCGTAATATCGTCTCAGTGATACAACAGATTAAATTAATTTTTTTTTTCTTTGAAAAACTGTATACTTTTTGTTCTTCTTCATTATCACTGTAGCACATGTGCTTGTGGTGCACGTTTTTTTTTTCATCTTACGTATAGTTATACACTTTCTATTCTGTACAATGTATATGAATGTAAAAATCAGAATGTATCGGTGCTTCTCGTATTATAACTGTTTCAAATTTTTTTTCCTTTGTTGTAGACACTTAATGTCATTTTTTTGAAATTGTTTTTTGGTGAAAACATTAATTAAAATTATTTGATTTCTAATCCATGTCTCCTCCATTCGACTGTTGCTTTAAAGTAGAAAGACTTTTCGTTTCTTTTTTGTTTTTGAAACTTCACATAATGAGCCAGACTGATTAAATTTCACATCTAAAGTATCAAAGTTGCACTGCTAAAACAATATTAAGCTTTTTTTTTTGCTCTAAACTTTAAAGTTAGAATTATAATAAAAAATTCAACACGTCAACCGAATAAAATATCATCGTGATACTACTGCGAATGATTTGTATTGAATAACTTTTTTTTTTTCTTTTCGCTTATCATCGAGACCGGCAATATAATATATATATGCTAATATATAAGCTATGTAAAAGTGTAAAAACGATATACTAAAACTCATTCATATTTTTTCTCTCAACAACTTATTTAACAAATAGAATTTGTTTCGTTAAAAGCTATCAGAAAACAATTTCGATTAAATCAATAAATGACATAGAGTTTGTTTTTGAGATGAGTGTCCATAAAGCAAAGTATTGTTTAAATTATGAAAATTTGATATTTTCTCATGTGATACCATTATGTAAACTCTATAGCTTTATAGTGGTATAAGTGAAAAGGTACAAGTTGATACACAAAGTATTTTATAAGAAGAAAAAAAAACTTAAGTTTTTAATATGATAAAATACGATCGGTACCAATTGTTTTTTTTTTAATTATCATATATCTTAGATACGATTCGGTAAACAATATTTTGATTAGAAATCTAAGGGATTATGTTTTGAATAGAGGGCTATTCTACTTTTGTCGTTGGGCCTTAATTGTTGTCTTTTATTAATGATTCTTGTTGTCTGATAGAGAATATTGTTCGTCGTTATGTTTCTTGTCAGTCACTATTCATTGTTGTCGTCCGACGGCGTTGTTGTCTTTTATTAATGAATGTTGTCGTCAAAAATGAATGTTGTCGT